GCCCACCAAGGAGATGCTATGTATGGTTCATCAGCTTGGTACTGAAAGGTTAAGTGAGCCAGTAGCAGACTTGGAGAGCCCAGGCCCCCAGTTTCTGTTCCTATGTGGAGCTGTCAGGATAGACCTGATTACCGGTCCCACTGCAGAGACAGCAGGAGAGCCCTATATAACTTGTGAGTGTGTATGTGTTGGGGTGGGGAGGGGAGAGGGAAACAAAGGCAGTCCTTTTGAGGCTGAGAAGTGAGAGGTGCCATTTAGGGCCTTTGAAAGAACAGGTTTTCAGCAGAAATCTAGGTTTCAAGGATGGAGAGTTGATAGTGAAGATTTGAAGATGGAAGCAATGTCTATGGAATGGGATCAGGAGAGACCTGGATTCCAGTCCTTACTTGGCTGTTTACTAGCCATGGGACCAAGAGCTAGTCAGTCACCTGATCACTCTGAGCCTCAGTTTCCTTATCTGTAGTAATGGAATGATAATTCCTATAGTGGTTTTAAGGCCCAAATGAGGGTGGGATCCCTTAGTATTACTGGGTCTCAACAACTTTTTCCAGAAGCTTAGCAGTGAGGAGGAGAGACGTGGGACAGCAGCGCAGGCCGCCGGAAGGCTCAGGTGATTCTGCCAAGTGGAGAAAAAAGATTGGGTTGATTTTAAACAGGCTTATCATCCTTTCCCAGAGAAGCTTTGAACCTCCCACAGGAAGACAACGATTTGACGGCCCATTCAGAGGACTGACAGTTGGATTCTCGACAAGTAGAAAGTTGAAAGGTGACAGAATTCTTAAAATCCCCGCCCCCTTTCACTTCCCTTCGGAACAAAGGGACATTTCCTTTCTTTTGCTGGGAGGGGATAGAATTCCTCACTCTCAGGGTTTCGGAGAAGTCTCTCCCAGCCAAGGCAGAGCCTCAGGCAGCAGTCAGGGAGCACCCGGGGCCTTGCTGTCCCAGCTGGGTAGAATAGGTAGTGAGGGCATTCCATGGACACATGCCAAGGCCCCTCCCCAACACCCACACTCACTCCTGAGGGCCCCCACAGTGCACACGTACTCGCAAAACCAATGAGGAAGTGGAGCAGACATTCTAAGTCAAGTAACTTGAAAATTTGTTTAAATTAGTCTGTGATTTCTGCAGTCCTATTGACCCTACAGATAGCAACTCCCAACTAGGACTACGCCCTAGGAATCTCTGGTAGAAGCAAAAACTCAGAGTCTCCCCTTGAGGTCTTAGAGCTGAATAACCACGTTGCCTTGGGCCTTTTTCCTCCAGCTCAGCCTGTTTCAGAGCTGAGTTCTTTAAAGGGGGTTAACTGGTGTTTTTCTACGTAGAGAGGGCCCCTCACCAAAGTCATAAAACAAAATGAATTGCTCAGAAACCTTTGCTCATGGGAGTAGGGATCTGGGGAGTACAGTTAGGATTTGAGGGAGTAGCTGTGCTGAAGCCCCTCAGTGGGACTGGTAATTCAGTTTCGGATTACCCCCGTACCCCAAACTAGGTTCCCCACCCTATACCTTTCTGCTTTCAGTAAATCTCCACCCGCACCCCACCCTTACCATGATTGGAATGTTATTTACCAGAGTCCTCTTACTGCCTAGACTAGCTTCTTGGAGCACCCTAGGAGTATGAAGCCCCTAGTTTGGGAGCCCCTGTTTTTAGGGATGCCCATTTCTGTATGCGGTCCTGGGAGCCTGGAGGCAAAGGAAAGTTAAGGAAATGGGAGGCCGGAGGGGTGTTGGGAAGGAACAGGGCTAGGGCTAGAGAAAGAAATTGTGAACTTGATTGGGGCGGGGGGGGGGGGGGGGAGGGGATGGCCAGTCCCACTGAGGGGCTTCAGCAGAGCTACTCCCTCAAATCCGAACTGTACTCCCCAGATCCCTAC